ATATATATATATATATATATATATATATATATATATATATATATATATATATATATACATATAAATATATATATACATATATATATATATATATATATATATATATATATATATATATATATATATATATGTATATATATATATATATGTATATATATATATATATATATATATAATTATATATATATATATATATATATATATATATAATTATATATATATATATATATATATATATATATATATATATATATATATATATATATATATATATATATATATATATATATATATATATATATATATATATATATTGGGAGGAGCTCTTAGTAAAAATACAGCCAGTTTTTTAACAAAATTTATTTATCATTAAATGAATAAATGGTTAACAAAGAGGAAAAAAGTATATATCTTTTAAACCAATTTTTTTTTTAAATTAACAAAATATAAATTGTTAATGAAAAAGAACAGAGTACATATCTTTTCAATAAAATTTACTTAAAATTATAAATATTGAAAAAGTTATAGATATTAAAAAACTATAAATCTTTTCAAAATTTCTTTTAAACACATTTTTTCAACACATTTTATGATTACACTAATTACAAACAGATTTAATTTAATTTATGTGTTTCATCATGACAATACATTTATTGACACAGACAGCATTGCTCAAGCTTAACACTCTTGCTGTAAACTAAACCAAGTCACAACAACTTGAAAACATGCAAACAACATAATAACCACTTACAAACCTGACACATAACATTATAACACATCACAAGTGTAGAAACACTTCATATGTAAAAGATATTTACACACTTACAAAATATAAACCCATTTAACCTTAACACATATAAACACATAATAAATAGCACATATAATTAAATATATAAATTAAGAAAAAAAAATATAAATTAGAAACATTTACAAATACAACCTTATTTTTGTAACATTTGTTTAATGACATACCTTGTAATAAATGTTTAACAATTTTAAAGAAACAATCAAACGTCCTGGTTTTTTATATTCTAAAAGCAAACAGAACTTTAATTTCTTTAAAATAAGGTATTAAACGATGTTGTTTTTGAACATGCAACATAGAGTTGACCATGTGAGATGCAAGGGTTTTGGAGATAAACACCAACTTTATCATGAGTTTGACCTTTTGACCTTTGAAAAGAACTTAATCTTCTAGAGTCATCATCGTCTTCAAATTTTTAAAAATAAAAATTATAAATTAATATGCTTAAAAAACAATTACAATACAATAAAGGACTTGAATTGTGTTATTATTAAAATGCATGAATTAAATAAGTTACCTGACTTTAAGAGTTACTAAACTAATTTATAAATAACATAAGATTTATCTATTACTACAGAAGTCATCAAATTAAAAAGTTTTCGATCTTATACTGATTAAGCTGATGAAGCAAAGTTTTTAATCCTAATACTTCATAATTCAGTACTTTATCAGATAAGGAGCTGCACCTGCAAACAATAAATGATAAAGTGATTCATATTAATGAATTCGAAAACAACATATCATCTTTCCCAAACACCATACAGTCTAATCTTTATAATGAACTTAATGATTTTATTTCCCATCAACTTAATAACAGCAATGACAATGACGTAAATCTTGAAGAAAACCCTATTAATTGTAAATATATGGACATAGAAAGTTTTAATTCTTCTAACATCGACAAAAATTATTTTTCTATTTTTCATTTAAATATTGCTTCTCTTGTTAAAAATTTTGACGAGTTAAACTCACTTTTATCTCTTATTAATCATAAATTCAGTATTATTGGCATAAATGAAACTAAACTAAAAAATGACATTCTACCAACTATCCCATTAAATCTTACCGGTCATGTTTATGAGCACACTCCGACAAAATCTTATTTTGGAGGAGCTTTACTTTATATATCGAATACATTAATTTACAAACTTCAATATGATCTTAATATGCTTAAACCAAAACTTTTAGAATCTGTGTTTGTGGAAATCATAATTCCTAAGAAATCAAACATCATTATTGGCTGTATTTATCGCCATCCTAGTATGGATATTTCAGAATTTATTAAATCCTATTTAATTCCACTTTTTGAAAAGCTATCTATGGAAAAAACCCAAACTACTTTTTTAATAGGCGATTTTAATGTCGATCTTTTATTAGCAAACTCAGATAATTCTGTCTCTGAATTTTTAGACACTATTGCTTTAAAGGGATCCCAAACTCCCAACACATGTTGTGTTCATATTAAAGATAATGTTAAAAAAAAAGGTTTGAACCAAATTTTTTTGATTAAAAATAAATAATGAATGCATACCGTGAAAAACAAATGTTGTTGTTTTTGCCGAAGCTCATCTTCTCCATTTTTTTCAACTACTCGGAGTCTTCAAATTATGCGTCGCAATCTACAGACTTTGGCAATTCCTTTGAAGCGCGTTTAATTCATGAAAGTTTTAGTATTTGACGTCACAGTAGACTTTCAACAAAAGAAACTCTGGAAATATTTTTATTTATTTTTAGTCAAAGTTTTTTTGATTATTTGTTTAGTTTTTTTTTTTTTCTACTTTTAATATTTAAAAAGATATTAAAAACCTTAAATATTTTATGCTGGTTCGTTGCTATAAATTGTTATTGCGCCATATATTTAATGTTTATAAATTATGAATATTTATTATCTCAAAAATTGTTTTACCTTAATTACCCGTATAAAATTAGTAACAGCTTTTTTATTTGGTTAGACGATATTTCGTTTCAATTTGCTTTGCATGAATTTCGAAAAGTCAAACGAAAAAAATTAGTTTAATCACGTCAAAATATATTTAAAACAAATTTTTTTAATGACGGGGGTTCTAAAGTTTTTATAACAAATATAGGTAAAAAAATAATGAATTAAATAAAAAGTTCAGTATTAAACACCATTTCTTTATTTTATTGCAACTGTAAATATTGAATTATTAACTTGAACTAAATTTACTTATTATTTAGAACGACTAAGCAATAAAAATAAAATGCCCCTAAAATTATGCGAGATTGTGTTGTTTATTTGATAATTGTTATTGGTAATGTTGTTTTTGTTGATTATTTTCATAAATATCAAAATAGTTTCAGATTAATCTGTTCGTTGCTTTACTCATTGTTGATTTATTTCTAATTTAATTTTATCTCAAACTATAATTATATGTTAAAAAAGAAAAGTTTTTATTTCATCGGGCGCTCTTTTTGTAAAAGAGTAGAACAAAAGAGAAAGAAAAGTTTCGCGCAATTAAACTTTGAATGAATAAGAGTTGTAAAGAATATATATTTTTTTTGCGTCACTCGTTCTGTTTTTAGATGAGAGAAATAAAAGTTTAATAGTTTAATTTTCTTTGAATAAATGAGAATTGGAAGAGAAAATTGCTTGAAAATTTGTATTTGTTAATTGTGTTTTTAAAAATTTTTAATTTTTTATGTTAAGAGACAAATGCCAATTATGACACAAAAATTTTTAATCAAAAAAATTTGGTTCAAACGTTTTTTTTTAACATTATCTTTAATATTAACACAACATGTGTTGGGAGTTTGGGATCCCTTTAAATAACTTTCTTCCCTTTATTTCATTGCCAACAAGAATCACAAATCACTCCAAAACTCTAATTGATAACATATTTTCTAATGCAACTTCTACAAATATTTTTGCCGGTAATTTTACTTCTACGGTATCAGATCATTTGCCCCAATTTTTAATACATCCATTTTATAGAACCAAAATTAATACTTGTAAAAGCTGCATTTTTCATCGAAATTTAAAACAAATAAATTGCGTCGAATTATGTCGTGATTTCTCAAAAATTAGCTGGACTAATGCAATCAATGTCAACAAAGTTAAGACTAATAAGTCATTTGAAGAGTTTTTCTCAAGTTTCAATTCTCTTTTAGATAAACATGCACCATTAAAAAAAGTCAGCAATTGCTGCTTATCAAGGGGTCTCAAACCTTGGATAACACAAGGAATCTTGACTTCTATTAAAATGCGAAATAAAATATTTAACAAATTTCTTAAAGCAAAGAATCCTAATAACAAACTCAATCTAGAAAAATCTTATAAAACATATAGAAACTTACTTGTTACTCTCACCGTCGTAGTAAAAAGAACCATTACTCTAAGTTCTTCTCTGACAATGCCAAAAATTTGAAATCTACATGGGATGATATTAAGAACCTTTTAAACATAAGTTCGAGAGTTAACTCATCTCTTTCATGCTTATCTTCTACCTATTCCATGATATACGACCCCATTAAAATTTCGGAATCTTTTAATTCATTCTTTGTTTCAGTTCCGGAAGATTTACAGAATAAGATCCACTCATCCAATACTGACTTGAATAAATATCTTAAAAATCCTAATCTTAATTCAATGTTCATATGTTACATATATCATTATTATTTGTTTAACAATCTTTTCTTTTTTTCTCTCTTATTTATATATACAGATGTTGAGTTTTTCCTTTTTTTTTTGTTTTTATTTTTGTTTTTTTGTTGTTTTTTTGTTGTTTTTTTGTTTACTTTTTTTTTTTTTTTTTTTTTTTTCTATTTATTTATTTGTTTTTTTGTGAAATTTTCATGTTTTTTAGGTGTCACTCCATTGACTAGTTTGTAACTATATGAGTGACACCTAACCAATTTATATTAATTTACGATGAAATTTTTAAATTTTATTGATATGGTTTAATATAAAAAAAAAAAATAAAAAATTACTGATTAAGCAGATATTACCAGTTTATAAAGATTTAAAAATACCTCCAACGTGGTCAAAAGTATAAAGTCAAACGCACACGAATAGGCAGTAGTAATAGCAGCAGCATTAAGTTCAGCAATAATATATAGTGATACTACCACTTCTACTATTAATTTGCCACATCTACTAGTAATTTTAATAACAACAATATAATTTTGCAAATTTATATTGTTGTTATTAAAATTTTGAAAATCTTTTTTTTTTTAGCCCAATGTTTGAGGATGAGATCCATCCAGAACTAAAGCATACAGGTGCTGGTGTATTATCAATGGCAAACAGGTTTTTTTTTTGTTATGATTGTTATTTGGTTAATTATTTTTATGATTGTTATTTGGTTAATTATTTGTTAGTTGGCCTAAAAAAGGACTGGTACTTCAAAAAAAGAATCTTCCCGAAAAAATATGTTTAAACTAGAGCTATCGACTGTAAATTGGAACTTTGTTTTTCTCAAGACATGTTCTAATAATAGCTACAACCTTTTCCTAGATAAATTTTTCAATTTGTAAAATAAGCATTTCCCTAATAAAACAAGCCGTATTAAAACTAAAGAAATTCTTAATCTTTGGTTTACTAAAAACCTTTTACAGTCTTCGAAGCAAAAACAAAAGCTGTATATACGCTTTATTAAATCAAAGAAAGAACGTGATAAGCATAATTACTTAAAGCACAAACGTCTATATGAAAGAACTTAACAAATAGCCAGAGCTACATACTTCAAAAACAAGCTGTTAAAACTAAAAGGTAACTGGAAAAAAATGTGAGATGCAGTTAAAGAGATTCTTGGAAAACAAAAAATACACAACAAAGTCTTACCAAGCGTTATTACTCACAGGTCAGAAATTTAAGGTTTAAGTTTACTATCCAAGTACCCCAAAAATGTTAACAAATATAGTAAGTGGGACATCTGGACACTTCATTTTCATATTTTAAAAAATCTGGGAGGTATCACATTTTTAGAAAATTGACATAGAAAATCTGCTAAAAAAGTCATTATTTTCGTACTTAAAAAAGCTAAATATATTGACGGAACAGTAAAATTAACATAAAATAACTTTATATTCCAAGTTTTTATGCTCTTAAATTTTGTATTTACACATCAACTTCATAAGTTAGCTCTTAGATATATCTAAGTTGGTGAAAAAGGTTTAGATATGCTTGAATTATATTAGGAACATAGTATGCTTTGTAAAGTAGAACATATTGATAAGTAATTTAGTAAAATATTAGTATTGTATGCATAGTTGCCTAATAATCTAATATATATAAATAATAGTAATATAATAAATACTAAATAAAATATTTCAAAAACTGTTTATACTAATATATTTTTAATGTCTTTTTGAATAAATTTACAAATTTTTTTAACTTAAGATTTCAATAATGTTTATGTTTTAATGTACAATTAATGTTCAATAACTTATAAATTATTAGAACTGAACACTTCAGCAATTCTTTTGCTTCTTTCTTTATGTTTGTTGCTGTACTGCGAGACTCCAAACCTGTTTATTACACTTTTCATCTTGGAATGGCAGGATTCAGATGTCTGCTCATTAAACTACCCAAGGAAAAGGCCATTCAAATCAACAAATATTTCCAGATGTGCTGTTACAGCATGTACTTTCCAAGTAAGCGTAAGCTGTTTACCTAAAAACTAAAAAAGCTTACTATAAATATGTTTATCAATAACTTGGTTTTAAATACAAAGGGTAAAGAAAACAGCAATTACCTCTCTGCAATAGTCTTGTGCATCCTTATAGCTTTGTGTAAAACTTTCAATTAAAATTGAATAGTTTGGGTCAAGTTTATAGCCAAAGACACTATGAACAATCTTTTTAAATTTTCTCATTGTTTCTAAGAGAGGATACAGTTCAACAGGCATTATCAACTCAAGTTTGTCGCAACTTTTAAGTATCTCTCTACACGTGTTTCCTTCAAATGTTCCTCCATGGTAACCTTTTCGAAGGCATCCAATGCTCTTGACCCAATCTATAAATCCAGGCCAAAGTTGCATTATAAATTCTGCCACATGGTTAACAAATTCCATCAGAAGGTGAAGTCCTGGTAATGTAATCTCTCTTATTATACTTAGGGATTTGTTTTATATCTTAAGCAGACAAGGATTAATGACATTCTAAATATATGGAAATAAATTTTTTTTATCCTTTTTAAAATGATAAAATTATAATGGATGATAAATTTTGAAAATATTTACAATATATTTATTCATTTATACCTTATATTCTTTCATTCTTCTCACTGGAGATCCTGCAGATGAATACAGTTCATAGTAATTATTTAAAGATTGAAATCTTCTTAACTCTAGAGAAAATAATTCTGAAGAACCTTCACACCATGCACAAGCATACTTTCCTCCATTAGCCTAAAATTTTATATTATAATTCAATTTATAAATATATTGTAGGGTAAAAAAAACCTTTTCCTAATATAGTTTTTACCATAATATGTCTTATTATCTTAAAATTAATTAAAACAAACACAACGAAATTCCTAGCAATATGTTGATTAACTTCATGTCAGAAGCCAATGAGTACTTGCATTCATGCAACTTTAATCTTTCCACAATCATTGTCATGTTAGAATGATTCTCACTTACCCTTTTACAATAAGCTAAAACAAGTGACAAATTTGCTCCTGAGTATGATCCTAAGTAGCTACTATCTTCTGTCCTGTCCTTGGTTGGATCAAACAGGTTTACTATAACTTTCAGTGATCCTCCACCTATAAATATATATATATATATACTTACACACATACATATTTGTATATAAATATGTACAAATAATATTTTTAAAAACAAGTTTTCAAAAAGACGATTATTAAAATATAATAAGTAATATAATTTAAATATAAATACCTGAATCTATTCCAACCTTTACAAATGTGTTTTGTGGAACCTGCCCTCGATATTTTATTACAAAATCCAGAAATTTTGTAGTATCTTCAATATATACCAAGTGTCTCTTCACTGTAGCATAGTCATTATCTTTTTCTTTTTATTGAAAGTCTAATAATTCAGTGACATAAAAGTTGGAAAGTAGTTTATTTTTTTTTCATCCAGGGCTTTCTCCATGTTTGACTCAAACTTTACACCACTTCTCCTCAAAGTTTTTTAACATTTCATTTGACTTCAATTGACTAAGTCCTAAGGTATTTACCAAAACTTCTACTTCATTATAAGGAATCTTTCTCTGGTCACTTTCCTGAGTACCGAGTGTAATATGAATACTTTTACCTCCTTAATGTAATATAAACTCTTATTTTAAGAACATACATAACAGCTATTTACTTGTTCTGAGAATGGCTTGAGCTCCTAGACTTTGCTCTTGATCAGAATAAATTTCTTTAAGAAGGAGAGAAGAAGCTACTTGTTCCTTGTACCTGTTACTTGTTCTTTTACTTTTTTAGAAATTTTAGAAATACTCTCAGAAAGATTTGTGCTACTCTTTAAAGGGGAACATTTGTGGGGTTTACCTTTAGCAATTTCACAGAAACATATTTGGCAAAGTTTCAGTGTTGAGCTAGTTCCCTTTTTCATACTTTTATTTAATAATCTATTTCTTCCTTGACTTGATTGCTCAATACTATGCATATATTGCATAATATTGAGCAATCTCTAGAGGTTTGCTAGACAAATCAGAATTTTTCCATTTTAAAGTAACTGTGTCTGCAATAGTTTTACCAGCCTTACAGAGATATAAGTTTTTCTTGTAACCTGGGCATAATCCTGTAGGGTAGGCAAATACTTTAAGTGAAAACTCAGGCTTAAAGAAAACTTTTACCAGAACTTCCAAATCTTTATTAACTGGAATGCATTTGTTGATCTTTTCAAGGCAGCAACAACAAATGATCTTTTGAAAAAGTATATGATTTCTTTTAAAATGGTATTCTCTCTTCTCCTTAGAGAGCAGAGGAGCCATAGATTCAATATATTAGGTATCTTTAATAAAATAAAAATAAAAATGCATAGTCAAAAAGAAATATTTTCAATAAAAAATGTTTTTTGACCAACTTTGTGTATTATAATAATGTTTATGTATAAACATTAAATTAAAGACCTTGAAGAGTTGGTATATGAAAAATTTTTTAAATAAACTTCAACTTTCTGTCAGTATAATTAGTTTTTTTTAAGTACGAAAATAATGACTTTTTATCAGGGTATCTTTTAGAATTTTTACACATTTTTAGAAAATTGATGTCAGTTTTCTAAAAATGTGATACCTCCCAGATTTTTCTAAATATGAAAATGAAGTGTCCAGATGTCCCACTTATTATATTTGTTAACATTTTTGGGGTACTCGGATAGTAAACTTAAACCTTAAATTTCTGACCTGTGTACTGTAGACGGCACACAGATCTCTTAGCCAATACCTCTCAAAAATTTAAAAAGAACATAATCGAACTTATTACCAATCAAGATTTTTTACATGATTTTTTCTAACAATACACTTTTATTTCCAATTTTTATTACCAAAGGTTACTGATGATAAGATTTTATCTTCTTCAGGTTCTCCAGTCTCGTAACTATTATAAATAATGAAATGTACTTGTATTTAATATTTTTAAATATTTTATCGGAAATTTAACTGTAAATGGTTGCTTGACAAAAATAAATAAAATAAAAATAAATAAAAAATTTGGTTAAATATTGAAAAAAAAATATTTCTTAAGTTTTTTTTTGCTTTTAGTTTATTATAGCAATAAAAGTTTTGTTTTGCTTGCTCATAATATATATTAAGTATTAATGTTCTCAGTATTTATATATACATCTGGTGGCGCAAGGTAACTTGCTCTTGCTAAAATTTAAAAAAAGATGCCAGTTTGAAGCTTGGCAGAGCAGTCTGACAGCTATTATTTACAAGAGAGTACTTAATACTAAACCATATTTTTATATTTAAAGTAAACTTTCAAAAAACATTTAAAGCAAGTATACATTACAATAAAACAAATTCTGCTGTATATATTTTGATGAAAAGGTGCTACATTCTATTGAAAAAAAGGTGCTGCATTCTATCAAAAAAAAGGTGCTGCATTCTAACATAAAATCATCACTGCATTTTAAATTAAATTAAAAATTTTTTTACAACTGAAGATCAAAAGCAGAATATAAATATAATAAAATGTTTTTCTTTTTGAAAATGTTTTTTTTTTTAATTAGCAGCTCAGGTTTTTAGTCAGGTCAGGTTTATCCTGCTACTGGTAACATGTAACCCAGTACAATCTGCTTCATGTCCTGCTGCCTTGTAGGATATGCCTTTTTA